TTACAAATTTTTTTCTTGTGGTGAGAACTTTTAAGATCTATTCTCTAAGGAACTTTCAAACATACAATACAATATTATTAACTATAGTCACCATGCTGTACATTATATCCCCAGGACTTATTTATTTTATATCTGGAAGTTTGTACCTTTTGACTACCTTCAACCATTTTGCCCACTTCCCATCCCCTACCTCTGGCAACCACCAGCCTGTTCTCTGTATCTATGAGTTCAGTGTTATGGCAGGACTTCCTTCTTTTTATGGCTTAATAATATTCCGTTGTATGTATATACATTTTCTCTATCCATTCATCTATTGACGGACACTTACGTTGTTTCCATGTCTTAGCTGTTGTAAATAACGCTGCAGTGAACATGGGGGTGCAGATATTTTTTTGAGCTAGTGTTTTCATTTCTTTAGGATAAATACCCAGAAGTGGAATTGCTGGATCATATGGTAGTTCTATTTTTTAATTTTTTGAGGAACTCCATACTGTTTTCCATAGTGGCTGCACCAATTTACATTCCCACCAACAGTGCACAAGGGTTCCCTTTTCTCCATGTCCTCACCAACACTTCTTATTTCTTGCCTCTTTGACAATAGCCATTCTATTCTGATTTGTATTTCCCTGATGATTAGTGATGTTGAGCACCTTTTCATGTACCTGTTGGCCATCTGTATGCCTTCTTTGGAATAATGTCTATTCAGATCCTCTAACCATTTTTAAATCAGATTGTTTGGGTTTTTTTTGCTATTGAGTTGTATAAGTTCTTTATATATTTTGGATATTAACCCCTTATCAGATACATGATTTGCAAATATTTTCTCCCATTTGGTAGGTTGCCTTTTCATTTTGTTGATGGTTTTCTTTGTTGTGCGGAAGCTTTTTAGTTTGATGCAGGTCCACTTGTGTTTTGTTGCTTTTGTTGCCTTTGCTTTTGGTGTCAAAGCCAAAAAACTATTGCCAAGACCAACATCAAGGAACTTATCACATATGTTTTCTTCTAGTTTTATGGTTTCAAGTCTACGTTCAAAGTCTTTAATCCATTTTGAGTTGATTTTTGTGAATGGTGTAAGATAGTGGTTGAGTTTCATTCTTTTGCAGATGGCTATCCAGTTTTTTCAACACTATTTATTGAAGAGACTGTTCTTTCCCCATCGTATATTCTTGGCTCCTATGTCATAAATTAATTGCCCATATATGCATGGGTCTATTTCTGGGCTCTCTATTCTGTTCCATTGACCTATGTGTCTTTTTATGCCAATACTATACTGTTTTAATTACTACAGCTTTGTAATATAGTTTGAAATCAGGAAGCATGATGCCTCCACCTGTGTGTTCTTCTTTCTCTGGCTATTTAGGGTCTTTTGTGGTTCCATACAAATGTTAGGAATCAAATACCTTTTAGGTGTCACAAAATATTTCATCAAGTAGTTCTATGGTTATTTAAACATGCCAGTTTCCAGATAAAAGGGATTTTTCAAGAGACATACTGCCTTTAAGGTGCTTCTTAACAAAAAAGTTCACATGGGAGGGGCCGGCTCCATGGCTTAGCGGTTAAGTGCACGTGCCCCGCTACTGGCGGCCCAGGTTCGGATCCCAGGCGTGCACCAACGCACCGCTTGTCCGGCCATGTTGAGGCGGCGTCCCACATACAGCAACTAGAAGGATATGTAACTATGACATACAGCTATCTACTGGGGCTTTGGGGAGAAAAAGGAGGAGGACTGGCAATAGATGTTAGCTCAGGGCCAGTCTTCCTCAGCAAAAAAAAGAAGAGGACTGGCAGGAATGTTAGCTCAGGGCTGATCTTCCTCACACACACACAAAAAATTCATATTGGAAATGTTACTAGACTATGTTTCTAACAGTGCCTAGTTTTTCTTTCCAAAGTAACATTCAGTGATCATTTTAATCTTATTTTCTCTCACGACTTGAATTGTTTGAAGACAAGTGATAAGAATGTCTGGTTTCCTAAATTCAGATGATTCCTACTTAAAATGCCTCAATTGATAAGTGTCCCTGACTTCTTGTCCACATCTACTCTATACAAAGGGGAAAAGAAGAATTCCAGTCTGGAAGTTCCCAGATTCCTCTTCTCTCTTGCAGTGCCCAGACTCTTGCCTGTCCTTGCTGTAGCTGCTATATTTGATCCTTACTGCTTTTTATATTTCTGTTTCTGACCTCAGCTTAGCAAAATGACTTTCTATTTATTGCTTCTGCTTTACTCAGATCCCCAAATCCATATTTTAGATCTTAGCAAAGGAGGGTGGAAGATACAACAGCTTTTAAGTCAACTTAGATTAGAATCCTGGTTCCATCAACAGCTAAGAGATCTCAGGCAAATCACTTACACCCTATATGAGCTTCAGTTTCCTCAGCTGTAAAGTGCGGCTAATAGTATCTGCCACTAAGGTGTACTTGAGTATTAGACTGGAAGATATACTGGAAGTACAAACACAGTGGCTGGCACACTGCAAGCCTTCATAAACCATAGTTACTAATGTCACAGTTACTATTATTGCTCATGATTCCTTACCCTAGTTTGGAATTGACATTCTTGATCCTTGACTTGTACCCCAAGATTACTAGCACCAGGGAGATGCAGAAGGAAAAGAACAAGTCCCTTCCTGACAAAGGAATCTATGAGTTTAGAAATACCCAACTGAAGAAGGAAGACAATTACTAATAACGAAGGTTAAAGAGAAACCCCAGCAAGAATCAAGTGGGTGTTTGAGATAGTATGATGAGTTGAATAGAAAACAAAAGAAGTCTCAGAAATATTCCAGTTGAAGAATGTAAATACAGAGAAATCTCTTATTGGCATTTAAAAAAATGAAATAAAACATTCAGTGGCAATCTAGTTTCCATGGGGGAGTTATTTTTCCAGAGAGCATAAAATTAGTTTCCTATCTTAAGCTGCACCTGCTAGATCACTAACATTTGTATTATTAAGTCTCTGGACTTAAAGTGCTTTCAATGTCAATTTTCCTCCTACTGTGCCCATCTGTTCTTTTCTTGTGAGCCCAGAGGAAGCCAAGACTTAATAAATTTTCAGTTCTCAGACTTCTTTATGATATTTTCATATAAGCATTTGTATCCACTAAGGAAAATTATAAGACTACAGAAACTTAAGTCACACTTGATTTTCCTTTTCTCACTATCCACGTGGTCATTATTTTTATGGAAGACTAAAAAGTCACCATACATATAACAAAGCCAAGGAAAACAAATTATTATAACTTTAAAAGGTAAATTTGTCAGGGATGATAAATGACCTTTGATGTATGATAATAACACTAAAATACCTTATTTATTCATATAACAGTAGGTAAATAATTTATGAATTATCCATTATTAATGTGAACGGAGCTGGGTCAGGTGGGGGAAGGTATCAACGCCACGGCCTACTCGTGGTTGTCCCTCAGCAAGGTCAGCAGTGGCCTCTTTCACAGGGTGCATTTCACCCAGTGATGCTGCTCCTCCACCCCACCAGGTCAGGCCATGGTGAGCTCACTTTCCATCACTACTCTCCCTGCCATGATGTCAAGCTGGCTGGATGAAAATGATCCATACCTAAGCTTTCCTCATGTGGTGTCAATATTTGACTAAACAAATACTTGTTTTACTTTAAAAACCACAAGTTCAAGGGGCCGACGCTGTGGCCTAGTGGTTAAGTTTGGCACACTCTGCTTCGGTGGCCTGGGTTCGGTTCCTGGGTGCAGACTACACCACTCATCGGCAGCCATGCCGTGACAGCAACCCACATACAAAATAGAGGAAGATTGGCACAGGGCGAATATTTCTCCGCAAAAAAAAAAAAAAAAAAATTCACAAATTCAAAAAGAAGGTAAAACTAGCAAAGAAATAGATGTGTGCCACATTAAAAACAATATAAGCTACAAACATAAATTCAAGATATATACAAATATTAGACATAACGTGGCTACTTATGAAACTCCCTGGCAGGTAGAGTTCTGCAGGAAGGTGTTACTTATTGGCAGGCTTAGAGTAGACAAAAAACCCCCAAAAAAACTACCTCAGCAGCTGCAGAGCGGATGCATACTCCTCTGAATCCCATACACTCTTTTCTAAACATGTGCAGTACAGCTCTCTGATCTGTAAGTGAACAGCACACTTGTAAGGAACCAAAAGTGATGTACTAAGTTTGCACACTGCTGGTTTGGCAAAATCATAAATGGTCAAGACAAAACATTAATGTTATTAAAAACAACATTTTCTTTAGATGACAACAGTCTTGGCATTTATCACATGCATCAGGCTTTATAAGAACACCATCTACATAAAAGCAAAATGAGACTATATTGGGATTGCCTGATATCACTGGTCACTTTGCAATAAGAAAATGATAAAATAAAAAGATAATGTGATTATTAAAAAGAAAGCTTAATGGCAGAAATCATCTTATAAACAAGTCATTCTTACGTATTCATAATTGTTCTCTAAACCTCTAAGTTAAGGATGCAGAGATTTAAGAATACAGAATTCTTCCATTAAAGATCCACTCTATGGATGGTCCACAGGTATATGTATGACACAAAGGCCAGAGGGGCATAATTTTGCAAGGAGCAGAAGTACTGCTTCCCTTTTAGTTCTTGGCACAATGCAAGGTTAACCATTAAGCATTCTTAAACAGATTCCTTTTTCTATTTCACTAAGGTGGAGGATTAGCTCTCTCAGTGTAAATGACAAAGAGGTGTTAAAGAAAGTTAAAATGGCTTAGCACAAATACATTGTAGGGGAAGCAATACCACCAGGATTCATGTGGTTGTTTCTAGTTGTGGCCATTAGAACAAAAAATACTATTTCAATTACCAGTCATGTGTATAGCTGGAACTGATTTAGACTGTGCACACACTGTAAGATTTGGATCCATTTCAAATTTTGATGCCTGAATGCAACTGAAATCAAAGGAAAAAACTACTAATATTCCTACTTTATAGATTCCAAATGAAGAAGTTCTGATTACCTGTCGACCCATTGGGTACTTGGGAAGAGAAGAGGTGAATTGATGAAGACATCTCAAAACCAGGAAATAATTTGTATGGTAAACATACAGGTTTCCTAGTAATGATTGTGTTTCTTCCTAAAAATCACAGAACATATTACAAATACGTAAGTCAGTAATTAAAACAATACAATAATAAAATCTACTTCATGGATATACATAATTTACGAAAAAATTATGATATAAGATTCAGAATTATAAATTAACCTCCTTAATTCCGAGAATTTATAATACACACAAAATCCAGGATAAAGGCTGGGTATTTTTGATTTAGTATCAAGTCTGGGATATTGTATACAAACTAAAATTAATACTGTAATTTAATTTCCTCCTATTTACAGCATTGCCACAGTAACTTGGTCCCCAAAAATACAACTATGCAAAAGAGCACCTTGCTGGATGCCTGCCTGTGCCTGTAGTGTGTGTCACAGCAAAGTGGGCCCATTACCTTCTCCTCTCCCTCACTGGCATCAGAAGGGTGAGATCACCAGAGAGCCCAGTACCAATGGACTTAACAGTTACTGAGGTTCCACCTATGATGTACGCTTTTCTTAAAGTATTGGTAGAATTGTGTTTGAAAAGGAAATAGGAAAGACGATAGAAGAAACTACCACAGATGATTCTGATAAATCCCTGCCTTTTGTTGTGAATCTCCAACACGAGTTTTTTTTTTTTTTTTT